TTGGCCAGGCTGGTCTCGAACTCCTGACCTCAAGTGATCTGCCCGCCTCAGCCTCCCAAAGTGCTGGGATTCCAGGCATGAGCCACCGCGTCTGGCCTCAGTCCATGTCTTTTATGGCAGCTCCGGTTCTGTGGGCAGTGTCCAGTGTCCAGACCACCCGCCCTCAGGGCTCTCCCACCTGCACGTCTGGCACCTATTTTTTCCCTGCCTGTCTTTGCGTGGCACACGAGTGCCTGTCCTTCAGCTCTTTGTTCAAGTCTCACCCCCTCCGAGAAGCCTCGCTGCCCCTGTCTAATTTCAGGCCTCTTCTTGGTCTACCTGGCTTCCCCCTTCTGGCCAGGACCTCAGAGAGAAGGCGGTGCCCCTTCACTCACTCACGCATCTCGCATCTCCCAGGCTCGCAAACTAGTCAGTGTCAAGGCATAGAAATGACCTGGTCTAGAAGGGCAGATGGGCAAGTGGGCTCTGACCTGGGTGGGGAGGGGATATTGGGTGTGGCCAGCTCCTCCCTAAAGGTATCAGGGAAGGCTTCCTGGAGGAGGGGACATTGGATCTGGTTCTTGAGGGCTGAGCAGGAGTTCCTGTGTGGGGAAGGGAAAGGCATTCTGGGCAAGGGAGGGCGATGCACAGGTATAGTGAGTGTGAGGAACACAGAGCTGGGGGCATGTGGACCACCATGAGGACAAAAATTCCTTAGAGGAGAAAAGAGCATGAGGCTAGAGGGGTGCAGAAGGGAAGGCCAGTCAGGGCTCAAAGCTGAGCCCGAAAAGATCAGACTTTGTCCTGAAGGCAGCGGGGAGCCACCAGGGGCTGTGAGCGGCATCACTCTGGGTGTGCGGGAAGGCACTTCTGGTACCAGGTTGGGGAGACTGGAGCCTCGGCAGCTGGAGAAGAGGCTGGGGGAGGGTCCAGGGCAGAGGAGGAGGCCTGAGCTGGGGTGGGCAGAGGGGAGCAGGGCACAAGCATCAGGGGGCAGGGGTGGGCACTGATGGTGGGGGAGGTGGGCGAGGAGGAGGTCAGGAGGAGGAGGGCTCCTGGGGGTCTGCCCATGACTGCGGGATGGTGGGGCCATCGTGAGATGGGGGCACCGGGAGGAGGAACGGGTTTAGGGGAAGGTTCTGAGCCCAGTGAAGCTAGAGGGTCCTGGGGAGGGACACAGGCCAGG